AGAAATTTAGGTTATAGTCAAGTTACATAATTACATTCAAATAAGTCTCTGGTAGTCTTGTGGTAGAAGTGCCTGACTGTTGAGCGGACGGTAGCAAGTTCGACTTCTGTATGGAAAAATCGGATTGTTTTTCCAAACCACTTGTGTACCAAAAATAGATATAAATTTTATTTTAACCAAATTAGTTCCTTCGCGTTTCAGATCTTTTTTATTTTTGCTAAACAATTTCAGGACTCGCCTGTTCATCCTATGCATTTTGTGAGCAAAAAGTTTAAGTTATAAGTGAAAACATGGTCAAGAAGTGAAAAACAAGATGGGATGCTCACAAAAAATTCTTGAAGCTAGAATACCTAAACGCGGTTTATGATTCGCTAGCAGAAATAGCTTGCAAATAAATTTCCGCGTCAGACTCGTTTTGGTCGCAGCTTGTGAGGAAAAAAATTAAANAGAAATTTAGGTTATAGTCAAGTTACATAATTACATTCAAATAAGTCTCTGGTAGTCTTGTGGTAGAAGTACCTGACTGTTGAGCGGACGGAACTCCGAACTCAGAACTCGCCTGTCATCCTATGCATTTTGTGAGCAAAAAGTTTAAGTTATAAGTGAAAACATGGTCAAGAAGTGAAAAACAAGATGGGATGCTCAAAAAAAAATTCTTGAAGCTAGAATACCTAAACGCGGTTTATGATTCGCTAGCAGAAATAGCTTGCAAATAAATTTCCGCGTCAGAATCGTTTTGGTCGCAGCTTGTGAGGAAAAAAATTAAATTATTGATAACAACATGGTAAACAAAAAAAGATGGATGGTCATCAAAAGATTCTCCTCGTAGCTTGCATACGTAAACAAACGACTTCTCTAATTTATTTTTTCGCGCTTTCGATTCGCTGGCAGAAAGAGCGTGCAAAGAAATTCCCGCGTGGGATCCGTGCCGTTTCTGTCAGCGATTGGCTTGAGTCTCTAATCCATATTCATAGCAAGCGTCAGCAAGCGTAGTGTTTTGCACAATTCAAGCTGTTTGTTGATGAGAGAAGACGTGTCGTAACGCTGAGGGCCAATTTTGTTCCTGAAGGAAGAAGATGCTTGATGCTGGAAGGACCTAAAAC